ATGCAGGAAAGCCTAGATCATATGTTATCTGTTATCATTGAAAACCCAGTTGCCTGCACAGTATCTAGCATATAGCTAAGTGCTCAGTATTGATTGAATGAATGAATGAAAGGATTTATTCAAGCATTGGGTATCCCCCATATTTGTGTTATGTTTACATACATAGTTTACCATACACACTAAGTTGACATATATAGTTATCAACTTATTCTTAGGTCATACTATTCCATTGTGTGCTTACTTTATGCCAAGACACTGTGCTGGTCACTGAGATACACAAAGATGAAAAGATAGAGTCCCGGCTGGGCGCGGTGGCTCACGCCTGTAATCCCAGCAATTTGGGAGGCTGAGGCGGGCAGATCACCTGAGGTCGGGAGTTCCAGACTAGCCTGACCAACATGGAGAAACCCTGCCTCTACTAAAAATACAAAATTAGCTGGGTGTGGTGGCGCATGCCTATAATCCCAGCTACTCAGCAGGCTGAGTCAGGAGAATCGTTTAAACCCGGGAGGTGGAGGTTGCAGTGAGCCTGGATGGCCCACTGCACTCCAGCCTGGGCAGTAAGAGCGAACTCTGCCTCAAAAAAAAAAAAAAAAGAGAGAGAGTCCCTTTCTTTGAGGTGCTCGCAGCCAGTGAAGAAGACAGATACCATAAGGAAAGGAAACATGAGGAACAAGGAAAACTCCAAGTCTGTCAAAAAGAGCTAACTTCCCAGAGGGAATGAGGAGCAGAAATCTGAAGAGTGGGAAGCTGGAGAGAGTATCCAGGTAGAAAGAGTATCGTGCAAAAGCTCGGAAGTGTTAAAAAAAAAAACAAAAACCAAAAAACCCAGTTCGTGTTGTGTTAGCTGTTAAGAGTGTAGGTTGCATAGAGAGAATGGCTGGAGGAGTAGTTTTTGCCAGGCTGAGAGGTTTAAATATCCTTAGATATTGTTATTCTCATTTTCAGGTGAGGAAACTTAGGTTCAGGTCCCATGTGGAGTAAGTGGCAGGGCTGGTATTTGAACTCAGTTCTGATTATCTGTCCACTCCACAGCAAGGTTGGTGCTTCTTAGTCGCATTAATGTGAATGACAAGTTCTGGAGGTGGTGTGATATTGGAAGGCTCACAGGTGAAGTGGGCATTGAGAGACTTAGGACTTGCTTCCTGGCAACTATGTGTTCTCCTTTCTCTGCTCTGAGCTCCAGGTCCAGCAGCTCCTGCGGCAAGCCCAGCGGGGGACAGAGGAAAAGAGAGAGAGGGCTCTGGTCAGCCTTCGTCGAGGCTTGCAGCACCCTGAAACGCAGCAAACCTTCATCCGGTTAGTGTGGGTGGTGTGGGAGAGGTGGGAGCTGGGCCTCTGAGGGATGGACCACAAGCTAAGCCGGGCTCTGGTACTCATTTGTGTAGGCTGGAGGGCAGCATGCGGACCCTGGTCGGGCTTCTTACCAGCAACCAGGCCCTGCTGCAGCTGGAGGCGGCTCGGTGCCTGCATGAGCTCTCTCACTCGGAGCAGTCTACCGTTGCTGAGGCCTGCCTGCCAGCCACTTCCTACCTCCTCACCTACCTCTCCAGTCACAGCTCAGACTTCATAGTAAGCCCAGTGCCATCCTATCTTGTTCTTGGCGTAGATTTTAAAATTTGTGCTTTTGGGACCAGCTGGCAGGTGGGAGGAAGAAAACATGTTCCCCCTGATGCCTACAGCCATGTCTATACCCATCATCTCCCCACCCTCTTGTGAGCCTCAAGGATAGCTGCTCCAGTGTCCCCATCACCTCCCCTCCCTCAGCCTGGCATGAAACAGGCCAAGCCCAGTGCTTTTGTTGCCTATTCTCAGGAGCTGTGTCTGTATACACTGGGTAACCTGATTGTGGAGAGTGAGGCTGTGAGAAGGCAACTCCTGCCACAAGGCATTGTTCCAGCCTTGGCTGCCTGCATCCAGGTGACTCTCTTCTTCCTCCCTGGGCAACCCTTCCTTTGCTCCTCCCCACATACTCCATCTCCTTTGGTTAGGTAGCTCTAGCCTCTGTCCTGTGCCTAGGGGCTGAGTCTCTGGAGACCTTATGACTCAGCTTTCAGTCAGATCCCTATTTCCAGTCCCCCCATGTGGCTGTGCTGGAAGCTCTCGGATTCGCCTTGTCCCAGCTTCTACAGGCTAAGGAAGCTCCAGAGACGATCATCCCGTGAGTAAAATTGTCTTTAGATGGGCAGCCAGAGATGACCCACCCATTACTATAGCTCCCAGATGCCTGAATGATTTCCAAAGCTGTTGCACTTTTAACTTCATGTGTCTGGCTAGGAATGGTTGTAGGTTTGGACATTTTCCCACCTGGGAAGGGCTTTGGGTTTGGACACTTTCCCAACTGCTATAAGGGTTTGGTAAAAGCCACTGGCATCTTCGTGGTTCCTACTCACAGCCCCGTTTCTGCCAGCAGCTCCATCTTGGCCTCCACTCTCCCTCAGCACATGCTACAGTTGTTGCAACCTGGCCCAAAGCTGAACCCTGGGGTCGCTGTGGAGTTTGCCTGGTGCCTTCATTACATCATCTGCAGGTAACATAGGCCAGTTGGGAAGGTATCACAGATCTTCCCTGAGGCTGCTTCCATGACTCTCAACTCTTTGAACTTGTGTCTGGAATTGCTGTAGTGAGTTTTCATTCCTCCACTGTCCTCTCTTTTTGGAGCCTGGGAGACCCACAGACATCAGCTGTTTTTCTTTTTTTTTTTTTTTTTTTTTTTTTTTTTTGATACGGAGTCTTGCTCTGTCTCCAGGCTGGAGTACAGTGGTGCAATCTCGGCCCACTGCAACCTCCACTTCCTGGGTTCCAGCGATTCTTCCGCCTCAGCCTCCCGAGTAACTGGGACCACAGGCGCGTGCTACCACGCCTGGGTAATTTTTTTTTTTTTTTTTTTATTTTTAGTAGAGACGGGGTTTCACTGTGTTGGCCAGGATGGTCTCGATCTCTTGACCTCATGATCCGCCCGCCTCAGCCTCCCAAAGTGCTGGGGTTACAGGCGTGAGCCACCATGCCCAGCCTGTTTCTCTTCTTAAAGGTGGAATTGACTACATACATAGTGACTGCTTGCTTCCTGTTGCCCAGCCAGGTTAGCAATTCCCTGCTTATTGCCCATGGGGCTCTGTCTACTCTGGGGTTGCTGCTGTTGGATTTGGCTGAGGCTGTCCAGAGAAGTGAGGATGCAGGACTGGAGCTGGTAGGTGAGGAGAACAGGTGAAATTCTGGGAGATGTTTCCTCATACTCTGGAATGCAGGTAACCTCTTCCTCCTTTCACCTGACCCCCAATTTGTCTTTGCAGCTGGCATGCCCTGTGCTTCGATGTGTAAGCAATCTGCTAACTGAGGCAGAAGTGGAGACTGTCGGAGGGCAAATGCAGCTCAGAGATGAGCGTGTTGTGGCAGCCTTATTTATCCTTCTGCAGTTCTTTTTCCAGAAACAGCCCAGTCTGCTTCCTGAGGGCCTCTGGCTCCTCAACAACCTCACTGGTATGCACCATCTGCCCAAGCCTGGACATTTGGATAATGGGGATATTTCCTCATGGCCTAGGCTGAGGTGGGTAGGATTGGCAGGGGTGGTGGGGGAAAGCAGTTTTTTCACCCTGGTACTTCTCTTCCAGCAAACAGTCCTAGTTTCTGTACCTCCTTGCTCTCCCTGGATCTGATTGAGCCCCTCTTGCAGCTGTTGCCACTGTCTAATGTGGTGAGCGTAATGGTATGTAGTGGGGTCACTTGAATCCAAGATCTGGTAGTCAGATTGTATGGGAGAGCAGTCCTGAGCCCTCAGATATACCCTTAATTGAGAGCCAGCAGGTGGTGTGGTGTGGCCTCGGGGCCCAACCAGTCTAGGTGTGTGTCACTTAAACTGGATTATTTATCCTTGGAGAAATCAACTAACCACCTTAAACTTCAGTCTCCTCACTTATAATTGGGGACAATAATTCTCATACTCCTACAACTGCCTCATAGGTGTTGAGAACATGCATGTAGAAGAGCTTGGTATGATCCCTGGGCATGTGGTCAGCATGCCATATATTTCAGCTGTTATGATCTTTGTGTTTCATTCTTTGTAGACTATACATATGTCTGTCTGCAGGTGCTCACAGTTCTGTGCAATGTTGCAGAGAAGGGTCCTGCTTACTGCCAGAGGCTGTGGCCAGGGCCCCTGCTTCCTGCCTTACTGCAGACACTATTCTTTTCTGACACTGAAGTAGTAGGCCAGAGTTTGGAGCTGCTGCATCTGCTGTTCCTGTATCAGCCAGAGGTATAGGTTTCTGACCCACATCCCCAATCACCCTGTTCTGAAGCCACACAGTGGCTCCCTTCCTGTCTAGTCCTAACTATGGTGGTTTCTCTGGGTCTGGCTGACCTAGATAGGTTCCATGTCAGAACCTTCATCCTCTTGTGGGGAATGCACCCTCTAAAATGGGCTGACCCACGAGGCTGTGGGAATTGAGTCTTAGGACACATGTGAGACCAAGGTGTGTTGGATTTTTTTTCTTCCTTGCTCCTAGGCTGTTCAGGTCTTCCTGCAGCAATCAGGGCTGCAGGCCCTGGAAAGGCATCAGGAGGAGGCCCAGCTCCAGGATCGTGTGTATGCTCTCCAGCAGGCAGCTCTTCAAGGGTGATCTTCTGTGTTACTCATTCCCCTCTCTTAACCTCAAGCTTCTTTGTCCAGTAGAGATGTCCAGTAAATCTCCTTTGGAGATTTAGGACCATAATGAGGTCTCATGCACTCTACTCCCACACCTAAGCCAAGACCTTTGGGTCCCAGCTTCTCCTCTTTCACTCAGCACTATCTAGGCAGGAGGACCAAAGGGGACTCAGTGTAGTCTACTTATTCTGGGGCCCCAGAATCCCTACCCGCCCCCCCACTTCATTTTTGCTTCAGCAGCTGGTAGCCTTTGATGAGACAGAATAAAATTTTATTTTTATATTAAACTACTTTGCCTCAGTGGTTGCACAGTAAGGGGTAGAGGACAGATGAAGACAAGAACACCCTGAAAAAATATTTTACAGCACAAGCTTTATATGGAATAAGAGAACACATTTTTTTCACATTACACTAAGTCCATCAGAGCCCAGGCTCTGGGGCTGTTGCCCTTAATCCTCGGTGGAGGTTTCAGGCTTTACCACTTAGCACATTCTCCAGGGCTCTGGTTACCTCATCAGCACTGAAGTTGTTCAAAGAGACATTCTTCTCTTGGCCAAATGCTGAGGAGAGAGAGGGAGGTGTCTAAGTATCTATTCTGCACCGTGGAGGCTACCAAAGTGAAATAAAAGGTCTTTATCTTACAATCTTGTTAAGATGGGAAGAGTACATTTGGTATGCCTAGAATTAATACAATGGGTCTCAAACACATCTAGGAAGCCCAAGTAAATAGGATTTTGGCTGATTCTGGATAGCCACAATGGGTTGTTTCAGGGAAGCTTTAGGGGGCACTATAGGCATTTATAGTTAACTACTGTGAGCAGTGTATTGCATGGGGTGCCCATTCCCTAGGTGCCCATATGCTAGCTCACGTAATACCCAGCACAATACACTGAAGTTACTCGTATCTATCTCCTCTTGTAGTCTACTGTCTTTTGGGAGGAGCTTTTATTCCTCCTCCAATTATTAATGCATGGCATCCTACAGATGTCTACTGTAGGAACCAATCTGCTTAAGGTGCTCAGTCTCCTCCACCTTCCCCCTGACATTTCCAGGGCACCATATAGTTAAAAGCTGTGATTAAAATCCTGTTATTCAGTATGTATAAATATTTATTGCATACCTACAATGTGTTAGGCAACATGATAGGAAAATTTCATTTTGCAATATATTGGAATAGGGTAATATAAAAAGGAGCTAGAAGCAGTAACATAAATGACCAGAATAATAACCTGAATAAGGAGCCAGCCATGCCAGTCTTAGAGAGGTAAATGCATTCTAGAAAAGGGGAATAAATGTAAAGGCTCAATCCTGTTATATCCTAGCTGCATTACTTTAGATAGGTTCCACAAGGTTTTGATTCCATTTTTTTTCTAATCTCTACAATGAGAAAAGAAGAACACGCTTCCTCATGACAAATGAAGATTAAATGAGGCTGGGCCCGGTGGCTCACACCTGTAATCCCAGCATTTTGGGAGGCGGACGCACGGGGATAACGAGGTCAGGAGACCATCCTGGCCAACATGGTGAAATCCCGTCTGTACTAAAAATACAAAAATTAGCTGGGCCTCGTGGCCCGTGCCTGTAATCCCAGCTACTTGGGAGGCTAAGGCAGGAGAATAGCTTGAATCAGGGAGTCGGATGTTGCAGTGAGCCGAGATCGTGTCACTGCATTCCAGCCTGACAACAGAGCAAGACTACGTCTCAAAAAAAAAAAGGATGAAGAGAGATTAATGAGTTAGGCAGGGAAGCACTCAGCACAGGGCCCAGTTCTAAGTGCTAAAAATTACTGAGATTCTCACACTATCTGGACTGACAATGACTACAAGTTATTTGAACGAAACTATATTGACTAGCTTCTCTACTATCAGAAACCCATTCTCAGCTACAGAAACGTCAGTTCTTGGTCCCTACGCAGGACTCGGTCAGCCTACATACTTATGTTGCCTGGGATACAAGGCATCATATAACCCTGAGAATATAAATTTCTTCATGGCAACAAGATCAACAGCAAGGCTAAGTCGGAGTTCTAGTTTCTCCACGGGGTTCCGCACGACCTTGGGCAGTCCCTTCTCCTCTCAAACCCTTGTTCCCCTACCGGAGCCCCATACCCCTGGTGTCTCGCACTCACCGTAGCGGGCCCAGAGTTTGGGCTGCACATCCGAGCACTCGCGGATTAGAATGGGTAGGTCGGGATTCGCCTTCTTCAGCTCCACATAGCGTTTCTCAATGAAGTCCCTGCAGGGCCGGAGAGCGCCGCGCTTGCTGTGGGCGCGCGCGGGCTTCCCCGATTTCAGGGAGGTCGAGGTCGTGACCCCGGCGTCCGCAAGCCCGCCCGCCTCACCACGCCGCGCCTCACCTGACGCCCTGGCTACCGGGCGATCGCTGACATAAGTGGATGCGAATCTCTCGCAGGGCCAGCTTTGCCCCGAGTCCTCGACTCGCTGCGGCCGCCGCCATCTTGGGTAATGCCGAAGTGCCAAGTGCCAGGTCTTCCGGCCAAGTTCTCCGGTTGGACCAATCGTGGACCCTCCAGCCTAGGCCGAAGGCTGGATGACGCAGGGGCGGGGTAAAGCTTAGCCAATGATATACAAGTATTGTAGGACCGCTGCGAGACCAATTTCTTTGCGCGCAGGGTTGGTCAGAGGCAAAAACAGGAAGCGGAAGGGTTGAGACCGCAAAGCAGTGTGGGTTGATTCTGAAGTGCACTGTGGGAAAAGGCTTGGCACTGCGGTGTTGCTGTTGGAGACTCGATCGTTGGTGACGTTGGAACACCGCGAACAAAATGCCGGAGCGAGATAGTAAGGTTCACGCCATCCGTTATTTCTCATGGCGAATTATTGTAGCTTCTGAGCTTGAGCCGGCTGTGTGTGTATGTGTGACGCTTGAGCCCCACGAAGCCGTAGGGCCCCAAGTGAGGCCGGACAGCTCCAAACTCCGTAACCAAGCCTCCTTCCTACTGCCAAGTGATGATGGGCGGCTTTCGTCTGTGGTTGGCTTTCCCCAAATCCTGTCCCAGTACTTAATCCTGGGTTGCGCGTATAATCTCTTACGTAGTATTTTAGCCGTGATCTTCAGGAAGTCTCTGATCGTGCAGCTTATGTTTAGGGTCCTCTGCTTTGTGCTCCCACAGCTTCTTGTAGTTTCCCATTTCAGCACTTATTACCTTGTGTTGTCACTGCCGCTGTTCTTCCTCTTGTTCTGTATATTGTTCACTACTATATCCCAAAATTTTGCACAGGATCTGGCACATAAGAGACTGATTAAATTAACCTCAATTCTTTTTGTCAGGTGAGCCGTTCTCCAACCCTTTGGCCCCCGATGGCCACGATGTGGATGATCCTCACTCTTTCCACCAGTGAGTATTTTGTCGTAGGACCATGGAAATGAGCTGGGGAATGTATAGAGGAATGGTGGTGATGGTGAAAGAATTCTGAATGTCTTGTCATCATGGATGGTCAAAAATTAAGCCTGCTGGCCCTTTATTTCTGTGAACCTTACCTGGATCAGGCCAAGTACATAAGGGTATTAGAGAGGAAATTCTGGCAAGAACAGTGATAAGTTTTTGTTTTGTTTTGTTTTTAATATGTGTTATGTAATTACACATTATATAGGAATTCTTTCTTCCAATAGAAAATAAAAACATAGGAAATAAGGGTAAAATCATCATTGATAACATTATCAATTCCAGTTCATTTTTTTTCCTTTTTGGAGACAGAGTGTCACTCTGTCACCCAGGCTGGAGTGCAATGGCGCGATCTCAGCTCACTGCAACCTCCGCCTCCCGGGCTGAAGCGATTCTCCTGCCTCAGCCTCCCAAATAGCTGGGATTACAGGTGCGTGTCACCGCGCCTGACTAATTTTTGTAATTTTAGTAGAGACAGGGTTTCACCATCTTAGCCAGGCTGGTCTCGAACTCCTGAGCTTGTGATCCACCTGCCTCAGCCTCCCAAAGTGTTGGGATTACAGGTGTGAGCCACCACGTTCAGCTTCCAGTTGTTTTTTTTTTTTTTTTTTTTTTTGAGACAGTGTTTCACTGTTGTTGCCGAGGCTGGAGTGGAGTGGTGTGATCTCGACTCACTGCAATCTCTGCTTCCAAGCTTCAAGCAATTCTGTCTCAGCCTCCCAAGGAGCTGGGACTACAGGCGCCCGACACCATGCCTGGCTAATTTTTTGTATTTTTAGTAGAGACAGGGTTTCACCATATTGGCCAGGTTGGCCTGGAACTCCTGACCTCCCAACTTATCCTCCACAAAGTGGTGATCCACCCGACTCGGCCTCCCAAAGTGCTGGGATTATAGGTGTGAGCTACTGCACCCAGCCTCTTTTTTGTTTTTTGATAGTCTTGCTCTTTTGTGCCCAGGTTGGAGTGCAATGTGCTATCTCGGCTCACTGCAACCTCCACCTCCCAGTTTAAGCGATTCTCCTGCCTCAGCCTCCCAAGTAGCTGGGATTACAGGCACCTGCACCATGCCTGGCTAATTTTTTGTATTTTTAGTAGAGTTGGAGTTTCACCATATTGGTCAGGCTGGTCTCGAAATCCTGACCTCAGGTGATCCACCTGCCTTCACCTCCCAAAGTGCTGGGATTACAGGCATGAGCCAATGTGCCTGGACCACAGTTACCATTTTATGTGTATCTTTTCCTCCTGTCGTCCATGCTGGAGTGCAATGGCACGATTTCTGTTCACTGCAACATGCACCTCCCGGGCTCAAGCAATTCTTCTGCCTCAGTTTTGTAAGTAGCTGGGATTATACCAGGCGCCTACCACCCCCCTGGCTAATTTTTGTATTTTTAGTAGAGACGGGGTTTCACCATGTTGGCCAGCCCAGTCTCAAACTCCTGACCTCAAATGATCTGCCCTCTTTGGCTGCCCAAAGTGCTGGGATTGCAGGCGTGAGCCACCGTGCCCAGCCCTTCTCCTTTTTTTAAAATGCATTTATACATATGCATGCATATCTAAGGAAAACACAACATTGCCTTGTAATTTAAAATATTTAAGTTAAATGATAATATGCTGTATATGTCATTTTTTCAACTTGCTTCTTTTTTTTTTCTGCCCGACTTGTCGTCCCAAAGTGCTGGGATTGCAGATGTGAGCCATTGTGCCTAGCTACAACTTGCGTCTTTTTAAACCCTGCTCAGTGTTTCTGAGATTGACAAGCATTCCCTCCTTGGCTAAACTTTAGTCAGGTTCCTCAAAGAGTCCTGTTTTTCAGCAGGACTTATCTTTGGCCTGCTGAGCACAGTTTTAGCGAAGAAATCAACCCCCGCTTGCAGCTTCAAACCTAACCAAATTGTTCTTAGTAATTTTCTATAAATTCTCACTTGTCCCTGTTGTATTTGGAATTGAATTTAATCTCTCTACTCTATTACAATGGTCTTGACTCCTGTTTCAATAGTCTTTGATAAAGTTTTCCTTGGAAAGAAGAGGAACTTGATTAGACATTAAAGGTGGGAGAAGAGGAGCTGGATTGGATGTCAAGAGCGGGAAAACTTTCTGTGAACTAACTTAGGATTTCTTTCTTTTTTTTTTTTTTTTTAAGTCCTGGGGTATGCATGCAGAATATGCAGGTTTGTTACATAGGTAAACCTGTGCCATGGTGGTCTGCTGCATCCATCACCCCATCATCTGTATTAGGTATTTCTCCCAAGGCTATCCCTCCTCCACCCCCCAACCCTGACAGGCTCCTGTGTGTGATGTTTCCCTCCCTGTGTCCATGTGTTCTCATTGTTCAACTCCCACTTATGAGTGAGAACATGAGGTGTTTGGTTTTCTGTTCTTGTGTTAATTTGCTGAGAATGATGGTTTACAGCTTTATCCATGTCCCTGCAGAGGACATGAACTCATCCTTTTTTATGGCTGCATAGCATTCCACATGCCACATTTTCTTTATCCAGTCTATCATTGATGGGCATTTGGGTTGGTTCCAAGTCTTTGCTGTTGTGAACAGTGCCACAGTAAACATTTGTGTGAATAAAGACACAGTCTTTATTACCTGAGGTTAGGAGCTCAATACCAGCTTGGCCAACATGGTGAAACCTCATCTCTACTGAAAATTCAAAAATTAGCCAGGCATGGTGGCAGGCACCTGTAATCCCAGCTACTCGGGAGGCTGAGTCAGGAGAATCACTTGAACTTGGGAGGCAGAGGTTGCAGTGAGCCGAGATCATGCCACTCCAGCCTGGGTGACCGAGCAAGACTCAGTCTCAGAAAAACAAAAACCAAAACCTGAGGTCAGCAGGTCAAGGAAGAGCCCTAGTCAGAAGAGAGCTTCAAAGGAGTCTGTCTGACTTTAATTGATTAAGAGGGGAGTCAGTCCTTGTCAGTGTACCAATTAAAATAATCTCTTATACCATTAGTTCTGTCTTTCCCTCTTTGGAGAACACCGTTACAGTTTAGTTCATTTCCAGCTAATAAACACTTAGTTCTGTTTCAGACTGATTAATTTTTTTTTTTGAGACAGAGTCTTGTTCTTTTTGCCTAGGCTGGAGTGCAATACCTCAACAGAGGGAGATTCTGTCTCAAAAAAAAAAAAAAGGTGGCATATTTTTGTTTTAATTTGTATTTCCCTGATTTCTGTTTAATTATGATTTTTATGTGTTTCTTTTTCATTTCTTTTTTTTTCTTGTTGAAGGTTTTATTTCTTTATTTCTTCAATAATGCCATATCTTAATGGGTACACAGTGCTTTAACTTGGCATCAACTATGAGATGTTTTTTAAACAATTTATTATTACACCAGTTGGGATTATTACTGATCTCTCCATTCCTTTGGAATGACTCTGCCAACAGGGGAAAGGTTCCATTCTATTCCGATTTGTGTTGCTACATATGTCCATACAGCAATACAGAAAGTGGTTCTACTAGCTAATACAGCATTACCATATTTGTCATGAAAATCAGGTGTACATTTCTGGTGGCTCAGCCTTGCCATTGTTTGCTGAATGCTTCAGACTTGGAGATGACTTAGTGCTTGACCAAGGGAAACATCATGAAGGTGAAGATAGAATTGCAGCAATACAGCTGCTGCTTTGGTGTAAATTCACTTATCCTTTTTCATTTCTTATTGAGCCCTAATATTTAAAATCCTTGCCTTTTCTTCTAGATCAAAACTCACCAATGAAGACTTCAGGAAACTTCTCATGACCCCCAGGGCTGCACCTACCTCTGCACCACCTTCTAAGTCACGTCACCATGAGTAAGTCTTTGGGTGATCCAACCTGTCTCCCACCTTTTTTCTTGCTTCTTCCTATTTCTTTCTACTGAAGTAGAATGACTTTTAATAGTCCCTCAGATATTTATGATGCTCCCTAAAGTTGGAGAACTGCTCACCTACAAATATTGATGTGAATATCTGCCTGATTGAAACTGTTATTTTGGTCAGTATTCTAGGGCTTTCTAAAAGCCATCAAGGACATTTCTTGAGGCTTTCAAGAAATGAAAGCTATCAGTGAATTTCTTGTCTCTTTTAGGATGCCAAGGGAGTACAATGAGGATGAAGACCCAGCTGCACGACGGAGAAAAAAGAAAAGGTGAAGGAAGGGTGAAGGGTTTTAGATTTTAAAGTGGATAGTGTTTAGGCGAAAGAAGTAGGGGCTAATTATGAGGCTAGAAACTAAGGTTTTGTCTTGATGCTCTCTACTTTCTTAATGGAGCAGAGTGATACTTAGACTGGCAATAGAGGGCTTTGGAATTGGCCTGTCTATATTTTAATCTCATCTTCACTAGTTTCTTGGTGGATAACCTAGGCATTTAATTAGCCTCTCTAATTCATGGATAGAATAGAGATAGAGTAGTAGCAGTAGCTTTTACTAGGATGTCATGGGGATTGGCTGTGAAAGCACATGTAAGCATTTAGCACCAATCTCTGGCATATGATAATCACCCAATAAATCTTGTCTGCTATCATCATTATTACCTCATCATCATTATTTATATGATACTAAAGATACTGGACCTGATACTTGGCTTTTCCTTTATTCTGAGGGTAGACCAGCAAAGAATATGTTCTTTTCAACTGAAATTTAGAAGGTGGTAAAAATTCAGATTTTCTGTTTTTTGTGTGGAAACATAACTATAGAGAATTATATAGAGAGAGTTGGATGATATTAAAAAGTTCTGAAGTGACAGATGGAGTGGCCCAAGTTGGCATTGGAAAAGTATATCTATGAGCTGGAAGAAGTTGTAGTTCTGATTTTGCGTAACTGTGAAGAAGTGGCCAGCAGTTCTATCAGGACAGACATGAGCTTTTCCCCATAGAGAGCAGGATGGAGATGTGGGGAAGCAAGCAGGAACAGCTCTGTTGACTTTGAGGTGGCAGCTGGCGAGCCTTACACATTCGCCTTTCTCTGGTCAGTTATTATGCCAAGCTACGCCAACAAGAAATTGAGAGAGAGAGAGAGCTAGCAGAGAAGTACCGGGATCGTGCCAAGGAACGGAGAGATGGAGTGAACAAAGATTATGAAGAAACTGAGCTTATCAGCACCACAGCTAACTACAGGGCTGTTGGCCCCACTGCTGAGGCGTGAGTACCAGGGGACCAGGATATGGTTCCCTCAGCATCCCAGAGTCATGCAAATACAATGTGAACTCTTCCTCTTACTTTCCTGCTCTGGAGCCTACAATCAGTGATTTCAGAGGTACTTGCCACCTACAGAGGACTGTTCTAATGTGGCCTGTTTCATTATACAGGGACAAATCAGCTGCAGAGAAGAGAAGACAGTTGATCCAGGAGTCCAAATTCTTGGGTGGTGACATGGAACACACCCATTTGGTGAAAGGCTTGGATTTTGCTCTCCTTCAAAAGGTGAGTCCTGGTGGTCAGTGGGGAGTAATACCATGGTGCTGAACATTCTTGTATGGGTCTGGCAAGATGAGGAGGGGGGCTCCTCATCTTGACTGAGTAGAAGAAGGGCTAACGGTGGCCCCTCTATAAAGCTGATTGCTACTCATCTTTCAAGTATCAGGCCAAATTTTATTTCCTTGGAGAAGCCTTCCCTGATCACCCAGGTGTGGTTAAGCGCCTCCCTTCATCTCCCACTTCCTGTACCCTTGCATAGCCCTTCTGTTTGACTTTACCACAGCAGTTATTGTACTTTGTTGAAATTGTTCAATTTGTCTATCTCATTTGCTATAAACTCCATTAGAGTAAGAATAATATCTGTCATGTTTAATATTATATTCTTAGTTCATGGTACAGTATGGTGTAGTGGATGTTCAATAACTATATAAAGTGAATGAATGTCCTAACCCTGCTTACTTTCCTGTTAGGTACGAGCTGAGATTGCCAGCAAAGAGAAAGAGGAAGAGGAACTGATGGAGAAGCCCCAAAAAGAAACCAAGTAAGTAAATATTAGGGAAGACTTAAGAGTTTAGAAAGGTGGGACCTAAAGTCGGAGCACATTTAGCAAAAACAAAACTTTTTTGTCTTTTCAGGAAAGATGAGGATCCTGAAAATAAAATTGAATTTAAAACACGTCTGGGTGAGTATAGTTTCTGTGCTAGTGACTGTGCATTCTAGGTGAATTGTGGGAATTTAATGCTCTGGGAAGGGTATGCTTTTCCTTTCCCCCAACCACCTTTCTTCTTCTTTTTTTTTTGAGATAGTGCCTCACTTTATTGCCCAGGTTGGAATGCAGTGCTGTGATCATGGCTCACTGCAGCCTTGACCTCCTGGGCTCAGCCCCTTGTGTAGCTGGCACCACAGGTGTGTGCTACCACACTTAGCTAATTTTTTAAATTTTTGCAGAGATGGGGGTCTCTCTATATTGCCCAGGCCAGTCTCAAACTCTTGGGCTCTAATGATCCTCCTTTTTGTCTCCCAAAGAGCTGGGATTCTTTCTTGCCCCCAAAACAACTAACCCCCATAAAATAATAAGACTCAGACAAGGACTTAATTATTTCATATGTCATTTATGTCTCCTCAGGTAGATTGAAAGCTTTTTCAGTTTGTGGCTTATGAAGTAAAAGAAGTAACATGGTTAGTGATTAAAAGCTCAAAATTTGGAGTCAGAGAGACCTGAGTTTAAATTCTGATGATGAAACCACACTAAGTGTGTGATTTTAGGCAACTGACTTTGCTTTCTGTTTGTTCATTTGTAAAAATTGGGTTAATGTTTACTTTATGAGTTTATTATAGGGATGAAGAAAAATGAAATATATAACATACCTGTCATATTGAGCAGGTAGTATAGCTGTTCTTTCCATCATCATCAATATTACCTTAAACCTCATCTTTCTTCCTCACAGGACTTAATACAGATGCATAGTGCCCTTGAAGAGGCAATGTAAAAGAAAGGACTGGAACCCAGGCTTTCGAGTTACACTGCCTGGTTCCATTCTTTGCTCCATTACTTAGTAGATACATGACTTTAGATAAATTACTTAAATCTCAGCCATAGTATTCTTGTATTCTTTTCAGTAAAAAGGATAATCCCACTTCACAGGGCTGTTGTAAATTTTTTTTTTTTGAGACAGAGTCTTGCTCTGTCATCCAGACTGGAGTGCAATGGCCCAATCTTGGCTCACTGCAACCTCCGCTTCCCCAGGCTCAAGCGATTCTCTTGCCTCAGCCTCCTGACTAGCTGGGATTACAGGCGCATGCCACCATGCCTAAATAATTTTTGTGTTTTTAATAGAGACGGGGTTTCACCATGTTGGTCAGGCTGGTCCTGACCTCGTGATCTGCCCACCTCAGCCTTGCACAGTGCAGGATTACAGGTGTGAGCCACTACGCCCGGCCTGTTGTAAAGATTAAATGAAGCAAAGCATGCATAGCACTTGGCATGGTGGCTAGCACAGAGTAAGCACATAAGTGACAGCTGTTCTTACAGATCTTGGCTACTTGCTGTTCTTCTCCTTATTGTAGGCCGCAATGTTTACCGAATGCTTTTCAAGAGCAAAGCATATGAGCGGAATGAGTTGTTCCTGCCAGGCCGCATGGCCTATGTGGTAGACCTGGATGATGAGTATGCTGACACAGATATCCCCACCACTCTTATCCGAAGCAAGGCCGATTGCCCTACCATGGAGGTGAGTGAATGGAGTCCTGAGAGCCTACCATGTGAGTCTCAAGCCTGGGAATCAGCCTGGCCTCTGCCCCATGTCCCTCATCCACCATGTCACTAAGTTCTATTCACTTTTACCTCCTAAATCTCAACTGAATCCATTCACTTTTCCACTTCACCAATAACATTCCAGTCTAAGCTATAATCTTGTGCTGGAACTATTAACTTACTATTTTTTTTGAGACAGAGTATCACTCTGTCACCCAGGATGGAGTGCAGTGGCACTATTTTGGCTCACTACAACCTCTACCTCCCAGGTTCAAGTGATCCTCCTGCCTCAGCCTTCTAAGTAGCTGGGACTGCAGACATTCATCACTACACCTGGCTAATTTTTGTGTTTTTAGTAGAGATTGGGTTTTACCATGTTGGCCAGGCTGTTCCTGAACTCCTGACCTCAAGTGATCCATCCGCCTTGACTTCCCAGAGTGCTGGGATTACAGGCATGAGCCACTATTCCAGGCCTCTGGAACTATTAAAAAGGCTTCTAATTGGTTTCTGCACTTTTATTTTCACTCTAATTGGTTTCTGCACTTCCACTCGGATTTGTTACTGTATCTTTTTATTGAGGTATTATTCACATGGCATAGAATAAATACATCCTTTAAAAAGAATGTTTTAAAAAATTTTTGTGAGTATACAATAGGTAATATATATTTATGAAATACATGAGATGTTTTGATATAGGCATGTAATGCATAATAATCACATCAGAAAAAATGGGGTATCCATCCCCTTAAACATTTATCTTTTGTGTTACAAACAATCCATTTATACTCTTTCAGTTGTTTTAGAGTGTACAATTAAATTATTACTGCCTTACTGGGTGCAGTGGCTCACGCCTGTAATCCAAGCACTTTGGGAGGCTGAGGCATGAAAATCACTTGAGGTTAGGGGTTCAAGACCAGTCAGGGCAACATAGTGAGACCC